AACAGAAAGAGGCAGTCATCGAGGTCGCGCAGAGCCTTCCTTGTAGCCTGCCTCGCTGTCAACACGAATGATAAACATTAGCACGATCAGAGTGCCAGGGGACCCTGAACCCGCAAGGGCGGGAATACACGAATCGGGGCGAGCGGGTGCTTCATCAGCACGCCCCCTTCAACGAAGCGCCCTGAACCCTAAACCCTAAACCCTAAACCCTAAACCCTAAACCCTAAAGCCTCAACCCTAAACCCTAAACCCGAAACCCGAAACCCTAAACCCTAAACCCTAAACGAGGCTCCGGCTGCGCCTTTGCCGAAACTACCAGTACCAGGCTCGGCGTTCAGTAGGGCTTTTCGGGAGTTTAGGAAGTTTTGGCAGTTTAGGGTTTAGGGTTTAGGGTTTAGGGTTTAGGGTTCAGGGCGCTTAGGGAGTTTAGGAGGTTTAGGGGGCGTAGGAAGTTTCGGAAGCCTATCTAGTGCAAAGACCGGAACCAACAAGCCAGCGGTAACAAACTTATTAAAGATTCCAGCCCCAGAGTCAAACCTAGGGACGTTTTTCCCCAAATTTTTGTTTATATAAAACCCAAGAGGATATTAAACATATTATTTTCATTAAGGTTCAAAGGGGAGTATAGAAACCTTCAAGAACCTCTTCCAACATCCTGTCTCAAAGTAAAGGTTGGCGTTGCCCCAAGGATCTAATATCAACCGCGCTCCCTTGTTCCCAACAGTATTCGTATGGGGAAGAGAGTGAGTTACAACATAAATAAGGAGTGGACAAGTGAGCGAAGGGAGCTTAGGCAGTTTAAGGTTTAGGTCGAAGGTTAGGGTTTAGGGAGCTTAGGGTTTGGGAAGTTTGGGGGAGTTGAGGAGGGTTTGGGTTTTGGGGAAGCCGCAGGTTCAGGGAGTGTAGATCGGGAGGTTTGGGTACTAGGGTTTAGGGTTTTTAGGGTTTTTCGGGTGGTTAGGGTTTCGGGTTTAGGGTGTAGTAGGGTTTTATGGGTTTCTTGGGGAGTTTTGGGATGTTAGGGGTTTCGGGTTTGTTTTTGGTGCTCAGGGGCTTGCGGATGTAGGGTTTGGGGTTGAGAAGGCTTCTGAGGGGCCCAGACATCTTGTAAAAGCTGTTGCTGACCTTACAAAGCCGCTGGCTGCGAAAGAAGGCTGGTAGCGCCCTCATGAGTCGCACCCTGCATGAAAAGAGTCCCTGACGGGCTATTGTTGAGGGCGAGGGTGGAACAGCGCGTCCTCCCCATGTTTGCGATGCCGAGAAGCAATGGTGCGCTTGGTACCAAAGCGCGCATGGTGCCGAGGCAGAACCGTCCACGGAACGCACACGGGCACAACGCTGGCAGACGACAGGGGTGAGTTGAAACTCCAAGATGCGCACTGTGCCTGAAGCCCCCCTCGAAGCAGGCGCGTGCAGGCGCGTGATGCTCAATCCCTCCACTGCGCATCCCGTTTTGGGACCTCGTCCGCCGCCAGTGCTGGATGGTCTTGGTGGGGGCCTCTTGGTGGGTTTGAAGTTGGACTGGGACATACTCCTTCAGTAGAGAAGCTGCTGTCCTAACCCTTCTGCGTCCCACACGTAGTTTGGGGGTGGAAGGTTGGATCCGTGGGGGCCCAAGCCGCCAGGCTCCCCTCCCCCTGAAGCGCTACCGCACGCAGGGAGCCCAGAAATTCTGCCTGGGCCTTCAAGCCTGAGGACTTGAGATCTAAAGAGTACAGAAAGCGCTGTCGGAAATATCATAGGATTCGGATTTACCTCTTTAAAAGGTTCTGCTGTATGGGCCCTTATTTTGTATAGGGTAGATAAGGGGTATATAACGTGTCTTCTTTTAAGGGCGACAATGTAACTACCCTAGGAGGCTTTTTGAGGGGTCGGGCTGAGAGGGCCCCTATGAGAAAATTCACGGGTAGAGGGTTTACGGTCCAGCTTTTTGGCGATCCCAATGCCAGGTGTACTTTTGCATATATGCACAATATATATATATATATATATATATATATATATATATATATATATATATCATACTCTTCCATGAAGGTATATCATATTTTGGGTATTACTTTTTACCACATGACATATCATACATACATGCAGGTATAAATCGTATATAATTATCAAAATATACAAACAACAGAATAGAAAAAAATAAATCAATACAATATACATATATATATATATATATATGTATATACATACACATATTTTCCTGTTTACAGCCCTGAACCGCAAGCCCCAACAACTGAAGAAGACAGACCAGGAACTGCGGCAAGGCCCACGGGCCCGAAAACCCGCAGGCGGAGTTAGGTGCTGTTCACAGTTCGGGGCTTGTGGTGCAGGGTGTAGGATTTGAATTCTTATCAACATGAACACCGTGAACGCCCGAAGAGCCTAGAACCCCGAAGGGCTTTGCTAGACCTTCTGCACCTGGAAAGCAACCCGAAGCCCCCTAAACCTCTAAACCCTACTAGCCCCCCTAGCCCCCCCAACCCCTGACCCCGAACCCCTTAAACTCGAAGCCCTAAACCAAAAACCCCCCCAAACCCAAAACCCGAAACCATGCCATCCCCCAGGTCCGACCTTGTCCTTCGCTTGCGCAAGCGTGAAGACGGTACTTGGGACCGCCCGGATGGAACGATAATACAGGGTCTGAGGTCTAGGACTGGAAGGGTTTAGGGTTTACCTGGGGCTCCATTTGCCTCCTATTTTCAGGTTGGGGTTAACAGCTATGTATGGCAGGGTTTGGGAGTCACTGGTAGGGTTAGGGTTTAGGGTGTAGGGCTTAGGGTTTAGGGCTTAGGGTTTAGGGTTTAAGAGCCAAGCCCTTCAACACCCAACCATCAGCTGGTGGGTTTTGGGTTCTGGGCTCGGAGGAGGGCTTTAGGAATCAAGGTTTTTGGGATTCTGAGGTTTCAGGATTCCAGGTTTGTAGGGTATTAGGATTCTACTTGGAGGTTCAGGGTACTTATTAACCAATCATAACTGTACTTATAACTGTACTTATAAGCTGCCCTAATATGGTTATAAGTACAGTTGCGCAAGTACAGTTATAATTGGTTAATAAGTACCATGAACCTCCAAGTAGGGTTGTGCGGTCTAGGGGTTTAGGGATTTAGCGGCTAGTATGGGCCTTAGCGGTCTAGAGGTTCTACGGTTGGGTTTTAGGATTCTTGGGCTTCAGGGTTTCAGGCTCCTACTTGGAGGTTCATGGTACTTATTAACCAATTCTAGAACCAATGGCTGTACTTATATGACCATATTAGGGCACGTAAGGGGCTTATAAGTGGGTTAAAAGTACAGTTAGAATTGGTTAAAAGTACCATGAACCTCCAAGTAGGGATTGGATGCTGAGCCCTCGAACCTGTTTCATGCTGGTGGGCTCTCTTGATTCACAGCACTTTGTGTCCCCATTTTTTTGTGTCAACGCAATAGGCTTCCAACGTGCCGAAGATTAGGAGCTAGGTCGTTGTGGCCGTGGCGTGAGCGCGAGGGCGGTGTGCGCGGGGTCGGGCGGCCCACTGCGGACCATGGCTTTTCTTCACGAGGCTCGCGTTTTGGACGACAATCGCCCTCTTTGACGTCTGTGGTCGCTCGCTTTGGGATGTGCGGGCTCGCGAAATGCAAAACTGTCGTCACTTTTCCAGGACGTCTGGGCGCACATGGCCTGTCTGCAATCTGGCAAGCATGTTTCGGGTGCCGCAAATCTGCCCTACATTTAAGGGGCCGTACCAAATCAAGAACCCGAAAAGGGAGCACCATTTTATAGAAGCCCCTACATAGAGCTCCACAAATCGAAGCCTTCACCACCAAACCCTAAACCCCCCTAAACCCTAAACACTCAAGCCTAAACCCTAAACCCTAAACCCTCGAAGCCTCGAAATAGGACTGCCAGCCTTTGGCACGGGTCTGCGCTGCCTTTCGCCCGGAGGCCGTCCACGGAAGGAGGGTTGAAATCCCAGGAAGCCTCGCGGTACTTTCTCCCGCTAGACGGCTACTGGGCCACCTGAGTACTCGGGTTGAACCTTAAACCCTAAACCCGAAACCCTAAACCCTGAACCCTAAACCCTAAACCCCAAACCCTAAACCCTAGGCCTGGGGAGTGAGGCAAAGGGATAGGGTTTGCGGGTCCGCAGATGAAGGGCTTGAATGGACTGGGCATTCGCAACGGCTGCATGTGATCCGATCGTCCTGCCACTGCATGTTGGTAGAAATGAGTGACGTTTCGCGCTTGTTGTTTACATAAAAACCCAAGGGAACCACCATACCCATTCTTATCATTCTTCCTACTCTGATTACAATTCCTTTTCTTACCCTTCTAAACCCTAAACCCTAAACCCTAAACCCTAAACCCTAAACCCTAAACCCTAAACCCTAAACCCTAAACCCTAAACCCTAAACCCTAAACCCTAAACCCTAAACCCTAAACCCCAAACCCCCTAAACCCTAAACCCTAAATCCTAAACCCTAAATCCTCAACCCCCAACCCTCAACCCTCAACCCCAAACCCCTCTCAACCCGATTCTAGCGACGCCATGGCCGCGTCGGAGCCCAGCCACCTCGTTGAGCCGGTCGCCCGGCTCGTGCAGCTACCGCGGGCAGGCCGGACTCGGGTTTAGGGTTTAGGGTTTAGGGTTTAGGGTTTAGGGTTTAGGGTTGGAGCGTGGGTTTAGGGCTTAAAGTTTAGGGTGTAGGGTCTTTAGGGTTCAGGGCTTAGAGTTCAGGGTTTAGGGTTTAGGGTTTAGGGTTTAGGGTTTACAAAGCGCAAAAGGGGAGCCCCACCTGGGGCGAGCGCCAAGGCTCTTTTGCTGGCCTGAGCCGAAAGGTCCTTGCCGAGATCGGTCGTTCCTGGCTCAAGAGAGTGCGCTTTCACACTCCCTCTATTCTCAATCTTTAAAGTATTCGTTTGGCGACTACCCCGAGTCGCTCGAAAAGGAATCTGCCCTAGCCGCTCCGGGCTCGGGGCTTTCATAGTCACATGACAGTCTGCACAAGCTGTTCACTTTCTACTGCTTGAAGCGGCGGCTGATCTCAGGAGCACCCGGGTAGTACACAGCCTGGATGTCGTCATAACGGATGTACTCGAGATACTTGCGGAAGTCCCGGACTTTGGGACTAGGACCAGAATAGCGCATGATGTAGCCCTTCAAATAGCCCTTGAGGCTTTCGTCTGTGTGTGAGGCGGAGACCAACTCAGCATAGGAGGCGCCACGGCTCTTGACCTTCGGCAACTCGCAGATGGTCTGTCCCCACCGTTGTTGAGTCTCAATGCCATCAGGAAGCATGCCTCTGGGCGGTCCCACTGGGGCTGCAGCAGAAGGGAGCGATGGCATCGGTGCCTGACTGAGCTCCTGCGTGGAGCGGCGGTATCCCTGCCCCGCAGTCTGCATGGGCCGTGGCTGCTGGGATGCCTCAGGGCACGTAGCCAACTCCCATTCTGGATGCTCGGTGTCACGAAGACGCTTTGACGAGTCATTCACACCTTGCACATCCGAGTGGACCTGAGAGAAGCTGGCATTGATCATCTGAAGAACCTCATCCGCTCGGCCCTGTTCGTGGGCCCTTGCGACAGCTTGTTGGAGCTGCTGCTCCACGCTGTTGGCCGCCGATGACGAGGCAGCTGAGGAGGACTGCATATTTGACAGATTGCTGGGCACACTGAACAGGAAAACACCAAAACATTAAGGAGCCAGGAAGCACTCGAGGACCAACATTAACGCTATGAGAGACTACGCTTCGCGCCGTTGTGTTTCACAGAAAGGCGGGCAGCCTACAGCAAAAGGAAAACAGGCGCAAAACCCTGCTTAAACCCCTAATTAAGGATTCCAGAGAATCACCAACACACACGCTTGCACGGACACCGGCTTCGAACTACAAGCTCAGCTTGACGACCGCTTAGTGGCTTGATGCATCTGCTGCCGGCTAGCTCTTGCTTCTCTCTGCTGTTTCTTCTGAGCTAGGACGGCGGCTTCGTCTGACAGTTGGTAGCGGCCATGCATCAAAGCAGCCCTCAGCAAGTCAGCCGGATCTGATTGGTCTTTTGTCAAGGAGTCAGCTAACATGAGCTCTGTCGGACACCATCTGATGCTCATCCCTGTACGTTCAACACCCTGCTTAATGATGGCCATATCTATAGCGACCCTTTTATCATCCAGCTTGGAGGGCGATGACACAGAGTGGGCAGCATCATACAGACTTTTGCAGTCCGTGATTGCGATGATAGGAATCTGTCTGGAGAATTCAGCAAGGGAACGGAGATCAAACTTGCCATGCTGTGCTTCGACTAGCATGAGGCTCACCCATTCTGCGACACCTGTGGCCGTAGCGAAGGCTTGGGCCTCTCCAGCCAAAGTTGAGGCAACGACTCTGGGCAGTCGGTAACTTCTCCAAGCAAACGGTGTCCATGGCACCTCTTGATCTGCGTCTAACCGCCTATCCACGAAAGCTACTATGTACCCTGCTTGAGTGCGATTGCCTCCGGCATTGGCGAATCCGGCATCAGAATGCACGGCGACGGCGAGTTGAGACAGCGGTATGTCCTTCACTGTCACTGAAACATCAGCATGCTGCCGAGCTCGGTGCACCAACTGGTTTGCAAACAACAAGTCTTTGACCCGAGGACTGGGAAAACACTGCTGAGAGAAAGATGTCTGGACAGAAAGGTCCGGCCTAGACTGACTGCTTAACCAATTGGCTGCGCCGTTCACGGCTCTGAGCGCGGACAGCTCTCTTGCTGTCGCAAACTCTTCTCGCTGAGCTCGCCTTTCTTTGGTCATGGCTATGGGACGCAAGTGTCTGGCATACTCTGCTTGTTGGTACGATATTTCAAAGGTGTTCGGGTCCTGAGAATATAGCACCCCGCAGAACTCCCCGTTGCCCACGCGCCATTTTCTGTATGGAAAACGCCGTTTGAGGCGCGCTATGGCCTCATCGTACGCACGCCCAGCCCCCCCCGTAATGGTATCGTCTACGTGCGCTCCTAAAGTGCCGCACAAAACCCCCCCTGAATCATAAAAGAAATAGAGGCAGCTGTCAAAGGCACTTGTACGGAAGCCCGCGGCGCGAGCTTCGGCATCGAAGGTTTGGTATCACTGAAATGGCGCATCGTTAGACCCATAGAGGTTGCCAGTAATTTCGATAACAGCGTCGGGCGGCAGACCCGGAACTCCGCCGGGGGGCTGATGCGCGTATAACGGTCGGAACCGTTCGGGCAAGGGACCTGCCTCGAGAAAAGCGCCTTTTATATCGCCGAGATTCATGACCCAGTGGTTTGTGACCAACAGTTGCAGGAGCACGGCCTTGCCCAATTGGCTCAACGTCGGGCTGTGACACAGACCGGATTGGATTTTCGTATGGAAATCCGGATCCAAATGACCTTGCAGGCAAAGGCGCGCCTTGATGCGACTGCCATCTTCGTCGGTTTTATTCACTATGACAAAGCGACTACCAACAAAGCGGTCAGCATGCCTGGCCCGTATCTCCTTCGCCTTGGCTCCCGTCCACACACGCACAGCTTGTTTACCCGCTACAGTCTCCCATTCTAAAGCCTTAGCCTCATCCACCTTGGCCTGGATAGTGGCATCATTTCCAGTGGGCGGGAGCTCCTTCTGCGTGCGTTTTTGCAAAAAGGCAGCCATGAGTGCTTCGATGTGGCTGTTGTGCTGGTCATCGCGGACCTCGCAGAAGAGAGCCTCAACACTGAGGGCCTCGTCTGAGTCTGACTCAACTCTAGCAACCCTTGCTTCAGGCTCAACCCCCGGAGGAGTTTCGCTGGCCGATCTCTTCTGGCTGGTACCGCGTGGGCTAGCACGTTCCGCCGCAGGCTCGGGACAGACATCTGTGGACGCCCTAGCTGGCTCAAGACGGGCTCCAGCTGGAAACTCTTGGAGTATTCGGGGAACCACTTCTTGCATGAGTTCGACAAAATCATCCTCACGCATGGCCGACGGCCTGTGGAGGATCATGTCAGGCGGTGACTTCCCAGTAACCCGTCTAACCGGACCGTAACCTGAACCGCTATGGTCAACCCTAGCGTGGCGCGAGGGATGTGGGTCACGAGTGTCAGCTGAAGCTGGTCCAGCAGAACCGTCCGGAGCGGGAGGTTGCTCCACAACCGCCGGCGAATTGGATGCACGGTTGGCTTCTTCCAGACACTGAGCTGCGTTGCGAGGAACCTCTGGGGCTGGCCTACATGTATCTTCGTCTATGGCAGGAGGAAGGTCGTGAGGGACTAAGTCAATGAACTGGCTCTTGGGGAATTGCCCGCGTTCTAGCAGATTCTTAATGCCCAACAGCTCATTGTCAGGGAAGTCAGCCACCACTGACTCTTCCGGCATCGCAGCACGGAGCTGCTCGGGCGCACACCTGAGGATGCTCTTCTTATGGGCTACAATGAGGTTCTTCCCAATGCTTCCTAAGACCATTGCGGCACCATACCATCTACCACCCTCAATGCGAACCCCTCCAATAGACTTTTGAGTGCGCCAATAGTACACCCAGTCACCAGACTTAAACTCTTTAGCAACCCTAGGCCTAGCCCGAAGGGCCGCTCGTAAAGCCTTGTCATCCTGACACTGCAAGAAAGCGCGACGGGCCGCTTGTCTGACGGCATTGGCTCGATTCAGGACGGTGTCATGTTCTATGGCATCAGAGGCAGCTACATGGGGAGCATCTTGGAGGAGGTCACTCGGGATTCTGGGGTTTCGCCCAAAAACCATTTGGAAAGGACTGGCCCCTGCTTCAGACAGCAACGAGTTTTTCGCGGCTTGAGTCTGGACAAGGCAGGTCTTCCAGGCTTCTTCATCCTCTGGCTTTGACTCATCCAAAACACGATCCAGAATCCTGCTAAACCACTGGCCATGACGCTCCACTTTGCCTAGTTGCCAATGTGCCTCGGCTGCCGTTTGTTCAATATCCACGCCCTGCCCTGAACAGAAGTCACTGAAAACCTCCCCTAAATTAGGTCTAGCTGGGTCGAGGATGAGAGTGCGAGGCGGTCCAGCCCAATCAATCCAGCGATCTCTCAGGGCAGACTGCAACAGTGCACCCGTCTCACGCCGACCTAGAGGAACCATTATTTGAAGAGAGGTGGCATAGTCTATGAGATTGACGCACGCTATCTTCTGACCCTGTCTCCAACCCGTAAGGTACTTAACATCCAGACCAACCCTGTCATTAAACTCTAAGTTGCGGGATGTGTTGGCCGGAAGCGGGGCAGACGGTCTCTGATGATTGGCGCAGACCGGGCACTGAAGCTGCGCTGCCCGTTCGATGGCGCGCGCTGAGGCATTGCTGTGCTTCAGGACCCTGACAAGCTCTCTTGAGGCTGGGTGTCCCAAGTTACAATGGAGCTTCTTAAGGGCATTGTCTATCCTCCTATCCCCCTCAGGATCCTGAGCTGGTGGCGCAGCCTCCGCTTGCGCCGGGCCTTCGGCGTCATTTGCCGGCGCAGCGACATCGCCAGCCAAGCATTCACAACCAAGGGCGTGCCAATCAAGCTGGCTTTCTGCCAGCAGGCTTTCCTGAACACACGGACCCAAGGACTTCCAAACTGCACGGTTGAAGTCTGGAGCGCACTGCACCGTGAGCGCACACGAGTTCACAGACTTGCCCTGGGCTTGCGTGTGCTCATGGTCGCCGGGGCACCGGTGAACAAGCTGTCGGAACACATCCGGTTTCGAACAGATCAACCCAGTGCAGTGTCTGACGGGCTTCTGTGTTTCAGGATACTTCACACTATGAGCGCACATGTCAATTGTGGTGAACCCAAATTTTCGCTTCAGGCTGACTATTTCAGGCATTTTCCACACTGCTGACCCTAAAGGATGCTTGAACATGAACTCCCCACCCCGCTTGACTTGCCTAAGAACCTGTCGAACACAGAAGCGCACCTGACCCCGAGCTGCGCGGATCAGACGAGCACGTTCCACAGGGGTGCGGACTCGCCTGTTCAAGTGGTCCCACCCGCCCCAATGCGTACAAGGAGGGGATGCAGTGAGCAAGTAGGGACAGGCTTGGTCTAGGAGGTGTTCTACCTCCTTCTGAACGACGGGATCAGTGAGGTCACAGCCCTGTTTCATATCGAAAGCAATCCCTTTGGCACCTTGATCTTGCGCGATCTTGGACAGGCATGGCTCAGAAAAGAGCTCTGCCACAGCGATTTGTGATGCCTGACGGACGTCTTGCTTGTGGAGTTGGGACATCAAGCTGCGGCACTCCTTGGGTTTGAGGGTTCGCTTCTTCTTTTGGGGCTTGGAGTTCATCTGTGTCACCTCGGCTTCGGCGACCTCCACGGCTGCTTGTTGAGGTTCTTTGGGCTTAAAGCTGGGGTCTTTAGGGTTCTTGGCATGTTTAGGGCATTCTAACTCTTCCGAGACCTCAGGGTTCGACCTAGGCACCTGGGCCGGGAAAGACAGCAAGTTGATGAGGAGCTGTCCAGCTTGATTCGTGCACATAGGAATCGCGGTGGCCTCACCCAAGAAGCACATGGTCTTGGCCCCGAAGTCTAACTGCACTCGCAAGCGCTCAAGCGTGGGGCGGCCCAGCAAGAGCGGCGCTTTGCCCGAGATCACTGCCGCATCCACCACACCGGCGCGGCCTCCAATGCCGACGGGAATTCGCACTGACATGCTACTGTCCTCGGTAGCCCCGTTCCCAAAACGAAAGGAGCTGTGTGCAGCATACTCTTGGACTGGCAGATTTGTCTTGGTCTTGAGGAGCTCCTTCAGGGCCTCAAGAGTCTGGACGCCGATCACCGTTCGACCGCAGCCAGAGTCCACCACGCCATATCCTGGAGACGACACCAGCCCTGCTTCCAAGGCCTCCGTCTGGTCAGCGTTCTCCTCGCCGGTTGCTAGCACTTCCACCGCGCCCACAAAGGAGATCTCGTGGTCAAAGAGTGTCTCGCCCTCAGCCTCCACTTGCACGTAATTCACCTCTGTCGCGTATGACGAAGAGCCAGGCTGATCTGATCGGCCGCCACGCCCTTGACCACCTTTACCCTGGGATCTGCACTCCCGGGCCCAGTGGCCTATCTTGCCACACTTCCTGCATCTCGTTCTTCTCTTGAGCTCTTCTATCTCAACTCTGAAGGACTTCTTGACGTTGCCGATGGAGCCGAACTTCCTGCTCTGCTGGAGCTTGTTAATCTCCTGCCTGCGCTCCTTCCACGACACTGCTAGTGCCTCGGCCGCTTCGTCCTCGTCAACGGCCACATCGTCCTCGGGGAGCGTCGCCTGATGCTCCGCCAAGAACGCTTCAACATCAGCAAAAGTGTCGTGATTCTGAGTCGCGTTGGGCTCTTCCTCCTCCCATTCTGGCTCAACGACAAGGGCGTTGACTGGCCTCTTTGCCCTCGCCGATGCACGCCACGTCGGAAAACACGAACGAAGAGCAGCAGAGACTTCAGCTATCTCAAGCTTTCCTTGACTCTTTGCTTTGACGATGGCTCGTTGTTCTTCGGTCAGTCCTGCGCAGTGAAGAGCAATCCATCCCTTGGCAGCATCTGGAAACGAAACTGAGGCTCTGACTTCGCATTTGCGAAACACCTCCTGTACCCTGGCCGTCCATTGCTGCATTGATTCTTGCTCCTTCGGCCTCACCAAGAGCCTCTCCCATCTGATCGGCTGTCTCTTTCTCTGGGAAGCGATTCTGCAAAAGTCTCCAGATTTGCTCTGCGCCATCTTCCTTCTGCAGGTCTGTCAGCGTCAAATGCTCTACTGCATCTAGCGCCTTCCCATCCAAGAGTGTGTATACGAAGGGGCCTTGCTGCTTCGCTGCGAAGTCTTTCATGGTTGCCATTTTGGCTTGGCACCAGTTCTTGAACTTCCGAAGCTGTTTGCCAACATCACCCTGGTCACCCTCTTCGCCATTGAAGTGCTTGAGATTCGACTGTCTGTCATCTCCACCGCTCATGGCAGCTACCTAGCTATCCCTACGCCTAGTCCTAGGCACCCTGGAGCACATACAGTGCTCCGCTACCAGTTACAAAGCGCAAAAGGGGAGCCCCACCTGGGGCGAGCGCCAAGGCTCTTTTGCTGGCCTGAGCCGAAAGGTCCTTGCCGAGATCGGTCGTTCCTGGCTCAAGAGAGTGCGCTTTCACAGGGTTTAGGGTTTGGGGCTTAGCTTTTAGGGTTTAGGGCTTGTGGGCTTTCGGGTTTAGGGCTTCCAGGGTTTAGGGTTCTGGGTTTAGGTGAAAAGCTCCCAAAAACCCTAAACCACCTAAACCCCCAAGGACCTCGCATGTCGCTCCTACAAGGCTCGATCCATGAATGCTTAGACCGCAAGCCCTTGACCGCGTAACCCAAGCCCCACATTCCGCCTGAAAACCCTGAAAACCCTGAAAGCCCTCCTGAACTTTGAGAGCCGAAAGCCTGCTTTGGTGTAGGTTACGCAGCGATCCTACAAGATATTTCTATAGAAGTAACCTACAACGAGGTCGGTGTTTGGGTTCTTGAGGTCAGTCAACACCTGACGAAGCACTCAACCCGAAAACCCGAAACCCTAAACCCTAAACCCGAAAACATAAACCCTAAACCCTAACCCTAAACCCTAAACCCTGAACCCTAAACTATAAAAATGGGACCTATAGGCCCCCCCAACCGGGCTCCTCGCTTCGTTCGCAAGGCCTCGCCCCAAAGTCGCTCCGGGTTGGGCCCGTGCGCGAGGCTCCCTTGTGGTCTTTGGGGTTTAGGGTTTAGGGTTCAGCATCTCAAGTCCAAGCAGAAAAGTACCCACCCGCCCAAAGAATCCCATAACATTAAGAAATAATTTCGCTTGTAGAACGACCTTGCCCAGTATATAAAATGACCTTGCCCAGTAAAAAAATGACCTTGCCCACTAACAAATGACCTTGCCCAGCAATTCCCCAACATTTAAATTACATTTGAGAGAGAGGTTTAGGGTTCAGGGTTCAGGGTTTAGAATTTGAGTTTAGGTGTTTGGTGTTAAATTAGGGTTTGGGGTTTGAGGGTTTAGGGCTTGACGTCTTAGGTTTAGGGTTCTAGGGAGGTTTGGGGTTGAGGGTTTTGCGGGTTTCCACTTCGGCACCCAGCCACCCTTAGCCTCAAATTCCCAGATCGAAGACACCTCAACCGCCCGAAGCCCCAACTACACCCTAAACCTTGAACCCTAAACCCTAAACCCGAAACCCTAAACCCTAAACCCGAAACCCTAGACCCGAAACCCTAAACCCTAAACAGCTTGTGCCCTGACCCCTTTCGGGAAGGCATCGCCTTCTCCGGCCCCAGGGGCAGCCGCGACGCTGCCACTTGGCTCTCTTTGGCTCTCTGGGGTCAGGGATGGTTTAGGGTTCAGGTTTTAGGGTTCAGGGTTCAGGGCTCAAAGTTCAGGGTTCAGGGTTCAGGCTCGAGGGGGGGAAATTCTTACCGAGACGGCATAACCTTGTCGATATCTGCGATATCACTCCCTGAAGCTTGTGCCGGCTGTGATCCTGCGGTTTCATGTAAGTGTAACATACGCTCAAGACGAAAGGCTCTTCAAACTGAGCCTTTGTGTGCGCTCTTGATGAGCGTCCCGCCCAGCCTGCGCCCCTTTACACGGGTTTGGCGTGCTCGGTGGAGGGCACTTTTGGCTTCTTCTCCCACACTCTTTCGGCATCATGGCAGCCCGCGGCAACTGTTTGCTTGAAAGAGCTCTTTGCAAGCATTAGGGTTTAGGGTTTGGGATTTGGGGTTTAGGGTTCTAGCGCTTGGGGGTTTGGGGCGCAGGGGCTCAGGGATTTTAAGCCCGCAGCCTCTAGCCCAAAATAAAAGAGCCTTAAAAGCCCCAAGGCCACATCCTAAACCCTAAACCCTACCTCTAAACCCTAAACCCTAAGCTCTAAACCCTAAACCGTAAACCCTAAACCCTAAACCCTGCCCTAAACCCTAAACCCTGCCCTAAACCCTAAACCCTACACCCTACACCCTAAACCCTAAACCCTAAGCCCTAAGCCCTAAACCCTAAACCCTAATGTTTCAGAGGCAGCGTTTGGCCAACCTTCTGGAGCGACACCGCCCGGCCCTCGACGGGTGGCTTTGTGTGTCGGGTTGGGGCTTTCTGTTTTGTCACAGTTTGCTGATTAGTTTGGGGTTTAGGGGTTTAGGGGTTTAGGGGTTTAGGGGTTTAGGGGTTAGGGTTTAGGGTTTAGGGTTTAGGGTTGAGGGTTTAGGGTTTAGGGTTTAGGGTACTAAACCCTAAGGGTTTAGGGTTAAGGGTTTATGGTTTGGGGTTTAAGGTTTGGTAGTGCTTGGCAGTTTGGCACCCGAAATGCCTCAAGTTCGGCCGAGTCTTTCGGGGGCATCTCCGGATCGAAGCAGTGCGCCAGAAACCCTAAGCCCCAAACCCCAAACCCTAAACCCTAAACCCCAAACCCCCAGCCCCAAACCCCAAACCCCAAACCCCAAACCCTAAACCCTGAACCCCAAGCGCCAAACCCCAAACCCCAACCGAAACCCGAAAAAAACTGCCCGAAGAAGCCTTCGTGGTGGCACACCTCAAGGCTTCACTGGCAGACCATCCCCAACACCCTGTAGCAATCGTACCAGCCATAAACCTTTCCCTAAACCCCAAACCCTAAACCCAAATCCCAAACCCTAAGCCCTAAACCTAAGGGTGTGGCGTTTCAGAGGGCTTGGGGTGGATAATGTGATCTGCAGCTTCGGGGGGGTCAGACGTTTAGAGGCCCTGCAATCTGCCCTCCACCCTAAACCCCGAAGCCCCCAAACCGTGAAGACCTATGTAAACCCTAAAGCCCCAAAGCCCGAGACCCCGCCGTGCTTTCACCCTAAAAACCTGAGCCCTCCCAAACCCTAAACCCTAAACCCTAAGCCCTAAGCCTAAGCCCGAAGCCCTAAGCCTGAAGCCCTAAGCCTTAGGGCCTAAGCCTTAAACCCTAATCCCTCAGCGTAAACCCGAATCCCTAAGCCGAAACCCTGGCTCCTAAACCCCAAGCCCTAAACCCTAAACCCTAAACCCTAAACCCTAAACCCTGAACTCTGAACCCTAAACCCTAAACCCTAAACCCTAAACCCTAAACCCCAAACCCTTTACCCTGAAACTTGAGCCGCAGGCTCCGAGCTCCATCGGGAGCTTCGCTCGGCAAGGGCCCCCAGCCCTGCTTCGGGGGATTGGGGGTTTTGGGGATTGGGTTTGGGGTTTGGGGTTTAGGGTTTAGGGTTTAGGTTTGGGGTTCAGGGTTCAGGGTTCAGGGTTCAGGCTTCAGGGTTTAGGGTTTAGGGTTTAGGGTTTAAGTTTGGTTTTTGCGGGTGCTTCGAGTGCGAAAGCCCCAAGAACCCCAAACGCCCGAAAAAAACCCATCAGCTTTAAGTCAAGCCCCGAGACCCTGTACTCAGCCATAAGGCCAGCCCTGAACCTCAAGCCTCCTATAAGTGCTCTATCTGGGGTCTAAGCTGCAGAGTTACGCCCAGGAAGGCAACCATCCTGAAACCCGAAGCCTTAAACCCTAAACCTAAACCCTAAGCCCTAAGCCCTAAGCCCTAAGCCCTAAGCCCTAAGCCCTAAGCCCTAAGCCCTAAGCCCTAAGCCCTAAGCCCTGAGCCCTAAGCCCTAAACCCTAAACCCCTAAGCCCTAACCTCAAGCTCTATGTCTTCCCACTTGGTAGGGGCGTGGCAACCTAGACCCAGGCCAAGATGGTGCTGCAGCAGCCGTCTGCCCCGGCGCAGCCCAGGCATTCCTGCGGAAGGAAACCTCGGGTTTAGGGTTTAGGGTTTTGGGATAAGGGAGTAGGGTTTAGGGTTTGGGGTTTTTGGGGGTAAGCCTTGGAATTTGCACTCAACCCTAGCGATTACGGCCGCTGGTGGCTTCAGCCTACCGCCCTGACTTTCTGCCGCTTGGAGAACCCCAAGCCCAAGAGGCTTTTGACAATCTGAACCTGCCAAAGGAGCCCAGGTTCGGTGCGGTTTAGGGTTTCGGGTTTGGGGTTTAGGCTTTTGGGTTCAGGGTTTAGGTAGGGTTTAGGTTTGGGGTGTAGGGGCTGGTCCCCAAAAGAACAGGCCAGGGTATCTGGCCGAGCATCTACCATGCCGGCGGGTGTCGGAGGCAGCTGCTGCGTACCACCCCAACCCTGCACGCAAACCCCACAAGGGTAGCTGATGTAGGTTGCGATGTTCCCCCTTACACAACCCGCCCTTAATGGGGATTATCGTACCCCTGTTATAATCCCTGAAGTAGTATAAGGGGGGGACATCCCAAGATGTAGGGTTTAAGGGTTGCGGTAAACCCAAAACCCTAACCTAAACCGGAAAAGCCAGTTGCCCAGTCGCACGCCCCGGCCGCCCCCGCGACCCACACGACGCCTGGTGTCCGTCCCGGGTGGCACCTGCCAGGCACGCGAAGGGTTGAGGTCCTTCAGGTGCTGTCTAGGGCTTGAGGGATTTCTGGGTTGCGGCACTACGGATTTTTTCTGAGAGGGTTGAAGCCTAAAGCCCTAAACCCTGAGCCCCTGAACCCTAAACCCGAACCCTAAACCCTAAGCACCCCCAAGCTCTCTAGGGGGAGTTGCAGGGCCCCGTATCAAGGTCCCTTAGCCGGAGAACCCGAAACCCTAAACCCTAAATTCAAACCCCCCCCCGCTTATCTTCCCTAAGGAGCATGAGAGAAGGGATCCTCAGTGAAGAGCGCCCATATTTAGGGCCTTTGTAGCCCCAAACCCTAAACCCTAAACCCTAAACCCCTAAACCCTAAACCCTAAACCCTAAACCCTAAACCCGAAACCCGAAACCCTAAACCCTAAACCCTAAACCCTAAACCCTAAACCCTAAACCCTAAACCCTAAACCCGAAACCCTAAACCTTAAACCCTGAACCCTAAACCCTAAACGCTCAAACCGCGGCAGGTCGAGCTCCCATCCGCCCACAGCAGCTCTTCGAGCTGCGGGAGCGGAAGACTCAGC